TGCGACCAACCGACGACGACTTTTCACTTTTCATGAAAACGAAAATGTTGTCCACTCCGCGGGTCTCAGATTTCCGTCATGATTGTCATGCGACATTAATCTCTGTCTCGTTTTGAGTTTTTGTTTTTGTGTTTCTTTTGTTTTTGTATTTTGTTTTTTTTTTTTTTTGGGAGCAGGTCTCTCTGGTATCATTACGAGTATTATGATTATTATTTCGCCAGTGCCTTTTGTTTTGTTTAACGACACTCGTCTACGTCGAGTACTACATTTTGGCGGTCAGTCGTCGCGTTGTCTCTTTGGGGCTGTGCCCTGATCGCATGGGGTGTGGCATGGAGTCCGGTACGGTTCATATAACCAGACCAGACCCAAGATTTCCCTGCAGACAACAGACCCAACAGCACCCCAGATATCTTTTGATTACATTTTCGCGGTAGTTGTCGTTTTCATTTTCATTAAAACTTTTTTTTTTTTTGTTTTGCTCGTTTTTTTCCCTCCACTTGCAAATGTGAAACGGGTTTCAATTGCAGCAACAAGTAAAATACTACGTGAACCTTTTGGATCGTTTAAATATAATCAAAAATGTCTATCTGTCTGTCTGCGAGGTGTGCTTTTTTTTTTGAAAGACAAGAAAAAGGAGAACCATTTGCAGTTTTGCCCAATATACGCCGGTATATTTTCCAAATTTTTCTAGCACGTTATCTAGTGGTTTTGGGTAATTTTGCCTATTTTTTTGAATAATAAAACTTACAAATAATAAACAAAACAAAAATAATAAAGAAAAAATCATAAATAAAATAAAATATAAAAATAAAATTATATACCATTCAACTACTTTGGCATATTTTTATTTTTGTAGGCATCCAATATATTTACAATAAATTATTGCAAATGAAAAACTCATTTTTGTGGCCTGGCCATATTTTATTTTTGTATTTTTGTATTTTTCGGGTTTTGTATTTATTTATTTTTAGTGTTTGAACGTGAATCATTAGAAAGTAAAGTGCCTGGCTGCATGTATGCATACCCTGTACAAAAGAGAGTTGTAGCACTTTGATGAGATGTTGGAAACTCTGAAATTACTAAAGAATATTCCTGATGCTGCCATATGAATGATAATAGTAGATTCATGCAAAATTCAAACCTTTCCCCTCGTTTGTTTCCCTTCCATATTTGTACATACGTTTTGTATGATCCGAAAGAGTATCTGCAGCTTCGTGTAGCCTTTCACTCTCTGCACCAGCTTCGATACTGGTTCAGCAGCCATCGCCTTTCTCTTAACGAGAGAGCGAGATACTTCGAGGAATGGTTAACAAAATCGCAGCTCAAATCAATTTGGTGCGGTGTTGCTGCCACAAATAAAGAGCGTGATGGAAAGATACAGAGAGAGAGAGAGAGAGAGGGAGACGATGCCCAGCGGCAACGGTAGCAATGGACAATTTATGAGGGGCACCTGAGCCACGGACACGGGGGACCTGCCTGTCTGGATGCTGCTGCTGCTGCCTCCAACTTTGTGGAATTTTTATGGACAATATTTCTTGTTGCTTTCTTTCCGCGACTCCGCAAGCAAAATTAAATGCAAATTAACAAACGATTTTCAACGCAAAAACATAAATAAAAGCGAAAGGGTGCCTGTGTGGGGTTGCTCTGGGGGCAAAAGGAGTTCAGCAAAGGTCAATCTCTAAGGAGCTGCGAGACAAAGAAATCTCATAGCCGCAATGCCTGTGTTCTTCTGTGGTAGCAAAATCAATGAAAAACCATTGTTTCGCCCAAGTAGTGCAGCGCTTTCCACCCACCCAAAAGCAGCCTTCCCGTTTGGAGTTTCAGCCATTATTGATACGACAGCTTCCCAGAGGGAAAACTGGTTGAGAAGTTGGTTTTTTTTTTGTTGTTGTTGCCTTATCATTTGGATGAGTTATAGGTGAAAATTGTCGCGAAAGTTTGTGAGTTATGTTTGAATCAGTTGCTGCTGCTGTTGCTGCTGCTGTTGCCACCGCGCGTCACACACGAAAGAAAATCCATGCTCCATGTGAAGGTCAAGAAACTGGTAACGATAACCCCCCACACCCCACACCTCAATGTTGCCACTGCGGCTGTTGCGGCCGCGTCTGGTATTTAATTAATTAAAGTAAATCGCCTTTTTTGGCAGGGGGCCTGCCTGCACAGCGGCCCGTAGACAGCCATTAATCATTGAATTATTAGCGCACATTTCCGTTCACCTTCAATAAATTAGAGACGGCAGGCAGCACAGATCTCTGGATCTGCGGGCCTCAAACTCAAGATTTTAACTCTTGAAGGGGTAGGGGGTGGTGGTCGGTCAAGCTCCATGGGTTTTCCACGACATCAAATGTGGTAATATTTACATGCCCACTTTTGAAGTGCAAAGAATGAGGGCATGTATTGCAAATACTTACACAATATTGCCTCTGCTGAAATCTGAAAATTATCATCCGCTTCTTTCTCTCTCTCTCTCTGTGGGTTTCCCCCTCCCCTGTTCGCCCAGTGTTTTTTTTCTGTCTAAAATTTTAAATCGCAAAATCATTTAATTAGCAAACAACTTCCGCGCACGCTATAAACCATAATTTTTCGAAATTAGTTGTCGCCCCAACCCGATGCTTTCCGCCCCGCCCGAGCAATGGAACTTTCTATATACCCTTCCAAATGGTATTTTCATTACGAATTGAGCTCTGAAAGGCAATGCAAATTTTGAATTTTCGTTAGCCCCAATAAAGAAATCAGAAAGGAATTCCGTGACTGCAACGTGGAAGGATCGCTGGCATAACATATATTTATTGGGTATTCAAAGCTTCGACTTCTGCTTCGTTCGTCTAGCCTTCCTTTCGAGTGTGTGCAAAATATATTTCCATATAGAAAGTAAATGGAATTTCGCATCCCCCAAATGGGCGGGGGAGTGCTCTGCCAAGACCCACATATCTGCACTCGCTCTCTCACTCTCTCTCTCTCTTTCTCTGTGTCTGTGTGCGACCTACACCTTGCAACGAATGAACGAGCAACAGAGTGTCTGGCCGCCCCATCGCATTGTCAACGGGCAATCAGTGAAAGTTAAATCGAACAATGGATGTTCCCGTTCCCTCTGCACACTCCAACCCATGGAAGCTGTCTGTCACTCACACCTGCTGGAGCCTCTGGGGCACTCGGGACTGGGTTGGCGTTGGCTGCGGCGTGCTGCGTGCTGCACAGGTGCTGTGCCATTGTTGTGATTTCACACTCGAACACTCGACAGAGAGAAAAGTGAAAAGAATCTCCGACATCTCCAGCTCCATCTCCATCTCCGACATGAGAAATACTTAAAAACTTACGCTCACGCACAAGCGTCCGAAAACAACAAAAAGATCCCCAAGCAGGCGCTACGGTACGGGTACGAGTAGCTCCAGGTGGTCGGTGGCTTGGAGACATTCAAATTTAATTAACGCTCGTGTGAAGCGTGTGGCGCCCAGAAGCAAAATTGGCGAAGACAGCAGACCAGCAACACGAAGAGCCCAAACAGCAACAAAAGCTACAGCTCACATCCAGCGAGGAATTTACAGAGAACACTGGAAGAAGTATCTGTGGGTATAAATATGATTTTCCATTCCCTTAAATATCTCTTGCAGAACGAAACAACAACAAAAAAAAGATCGAACAAGTTGCAAGATCAGATAGAAATCAGTTGACCGAATGATTAACCAGACATATCCATCGCAGCCATCGCAGCCATGCACCATGTTTCGAGTATGCAAATAATAATGGAAATGGCAACAGCAACAGCAGCAACAGCAATCTGTGAAGAGACTGCAGTGTTTTTAAAGTGGCATTAAATTCCAAGCGACTGCAACGAAGCGCAAAGATGAAATGGGCTGGCAATAGGGGTATGGGATGGGATGGGATAAGATGGGCTGGGGAGCAGTGATGGGAGGCCACAGAAAATCTCAAAATGCTGGAAAACTCGTTTCGTCTCAGCCTAAAAGAAAATTGTAGATAAAAATAAATAACGAAAACGAAAACTAAACAAGAAATGTTTCGATTCAAGGAGCCACAACGAATGGCCTATACCCTAAACACAAAAAGTTTAAGAATATTCTAGAACTTTCTTTCTATAGAAAAAAATACCAGAAGAATACAAGGAAAAAATACTTGTAAAATGGTGACAAAAGGACAGAGTATACAGGGTATACACTCGGCTCAAAGACAGCACATTTGCCTTCGCGAAGTCCGTGAGGCGAGGAGTTTTCTGCGGCTGAGAAGGCAAAGAATTTTCCTAGCCAACATCTTGATTGTGTGCTCCCCTCCCCGCCCCACTGCCATCCAATTGCTGCACCATCCATATCCCCCCAGATGGAGGAGCCGCTTGTATACTTGATTTCTATGTTGTTTATGAATTTGTTGGGCCATCAGGCAGTAGCCACAACCACAGCCACAGCCACAGCATCATTTTGGAGAGGCCTGGGCCTGCAAATGGACCTGCACCTGGAGCTCAAACTGAAGTTGAAGCTAAAGTTGGGCTTTGGGCCCCAGGTGAACGGTCAAGTCATAAATAAAAGATATTCTCTTGCAACATTTCGCAGATGTTGTTGTTGTTGCTTTAATTACACTTGTGGTGGCACATCACAAAGAACCTGTGATGTGTAATGCCTTATGAGCACGCTTAATGGGTGCCTGATGATGACGACTCTTTGGTAAGATTTTCCTCCGCATCTACTCTTCTAATCGTATCTTGGATGCTGCTTGTAGAGCTTGACAAACATTTAAGCTCGAATTTAGGCCAAAGCCCAACTTAATGTTGGCCTTTCGGTACAATCTGCCGTGTGCTTAGCAATTAGATGACGAAAAGCACTATAAAACGAGATTCTTGGCTTGTTTATAACTGTTGTTTATATATTCCCAAAAATATTCTAAGCTTTCACTGCATTGAAAAACATCGTTGAATTTAATATACAAAATTCTGCAGAAAATATTTTAACAATCTTCCAATAATTTGGTGAAAATGTGGACCTTTAACTTACCCACTCTGGGCTGGGCTGCCGTAGATCATTAATTAAAAACACACCACAAACAAAAAAAATCTTTAAAAAAACGAAAAAGAACTTGAAAATCGAATGCGTTTGGGAGTGTTGCGGGTTGGCTTACGATGTCTTGGAGCGGCGCGAACAGACTAACAAAAGAAATGCAAAAACAAAAACAAACGGCGCAGAACGCAAGACAAACGTACGAAAAGATGGTAAAGAGTGGCTAGGCAAAGGTAAAAGAGAAAAAGAAGAGAAGAGAAGGAAATTAAACCGGTCTTTCATCTGACAGTGGGTTGGTGTCTCCACTAAAGGTTAGCCGAGACAAAGTACCTTGTGGTAGACGAGACATCAACCATTTAAATTCAACAAAATAAAACATCAATCTATCTCGGACATCAACCTATCGTTAAAAAGCCCTAGTACTGAACTAAAATGTACTAAAAGTCGATATCGCCACCATTCAATAGGCTAGAACCAAAAATGGTGAATAAGTTCTAGGCAAAAAATTAATATTATTATGATATTATTGCCTCTGAATTTTTAGAGTACGAAGACTTCAAGTAAAAGGCTGCCGAGATTGTTTCTTTTTTCCCGTTGGTGCACAAGGAATATATTATCTTGGAGGACTTCTTGGACAGTCTGTTTCTTGATATATATTCTTCACAATGATTCCTCTATTTTGAAAATTCTCATATGTATATCCATAAATATAATAAATATTCTCTTAATTTGTGTGGTTTAAATAGTCCTTAAATATACATACATATGTACATATGTATGTACATACATACATATGCAGGTAGATTATATTCGTATCATATATTCGAAATAAGTCGAGTTTTCAGTTTGTGTTGTATTTTTGAAATGAAATTATGATTTCATTTCGAGTTTTTTCGCAATGTTCTCGTTGGAAAAACATTTTCATAGCTACGCACCGAACACAATTTTTAAACTTTCGCCATGAAAATAATAAAAGTTTTAGTCAATTTTTGTGTGGCGCTCGCGATTGCAGCAGGGATTGGATGGATCCCATGCCATGCCCCCAGGATGTTGGAGGAGGGTGGCACGCACAAAAGTTTCGACTGAGAGAGAAAAAGAGAAAGAGCGGAATAGGGTGAGGGAGAGGTAGAGGGAGAGACACACATTACCCGCGGCTTGGCGCAGCACAAAGCCAAAAACCGCAAAACTATGAAATATCTATGTGGGATCGGAATACATACATACATATATACAGTATATGCATACATACATATATAAATTGTAGATGTACATGCCACAGATAGAGATACATTCACTCGCTTGCGCTTACGCTTACGCTTACGCCAAATGAATGCCGGAAGTGGGTTTGCAAAAAGGCCAAAAAGGATGCGTACGATACGATACGTACGATACGCTCACGGATAAACGAACTTGAACACATTTTTGACAGTTGTGCGTATAAATCTTGAAATGTTTTAATTTGCTTGCGAATCGATTTAAAGCGCAAGCGGAAAACGTAGGGCACGGCACACACACACACACACACACAAACTGACGAAAAAAACCAACAGATAATCCGCATTTGTACCAAAAAAAACCGAGAAAGAAGAAGGAAACGTAAAGGAGAAGAACGTAGAGCAACGGCGGAGCAGCAAACGTAGTCGTTGCGTATGATTTATGAATGACATTTCAGCCTCATTCACATACCCTGCAATGCGAGGCACGCGCTGTGCATGAGGGGTATGCTGGCACATGCCATCAATATGGGCGAGAGTTGGGCCATGTGAGACAGTGTTGGGAATATTCAGGTATTCTTTTAGGAGGATTTTGGATTTCAAGGAGTGTTGGGAGGAAGGATTTTTGGGAGCATGGGGGAAAGTATATTTTGAAGGATTTTCTAGGATGTTTTTAAATTTAAGTTTCCTGATGTTTTATCGTGCATAATATTTTTCTAGTTTTGTTATTTGTATTTCTAGTTAGATATTGTCTGGCAGTATTCCAGTTTCTCTCATCCTCTTTGGAGGGTATTCAAGTGTGCGAGCGCACGCTTGGGGCAGCAACTTTTGGTCGCTTGAGGTTTTCCTTTTACAACTCTGTGTTCTCTCTGTGTGTGTGTGTGTGTGTGTGTGTGGAGCAGAGCAGCGCGAATTAGCCAAAAGCCGATGCCGATGTCCGTGCCCGTGCCCCAATGCCATGGGAGTGGTGTTTACCTTTAAAGCGTTACAGGGCACTCGCCATTTTTTCATTCTTACAGATTTTGGTCTCTCGCCTGTTGTGTTTCTCTGCCTGTCTGTCTGTCTATCTCTCTGTCTGTCTGTCTGTCGTTTTTAGTGGTCCAATCGAGTCCCGTCCCTGGGTCCTGAGTATCATATTTTTGCATTGACCCACGGACATGGATGGACCCAAGCCGAAATCGAACCAAAGCGACGCGAAAGCGAGGCCTGTATGGGGGTGGGGGGAATGGGATTAAGAATGGGAATGGAACTGTCGACTGTCGACTGTGACCAGGGCCTGCCTCTCTTCGGGTTTTTTTGCTCTTGGCGTTTATAGATTGAGTACTTTATCAAAAAAACGAGACATCAAAGCGTATATCATGTCAGCTCCAGAGACGCAACGACTCCTCTCCGACTCTGACTCTGACTTCGACTCCGATGAGCGGATGGAGTACTGCATTTGCATGCAGCATGCATGTGCCCCTCCCCTGCCCTCCTCCTCCCCTGCCCTCCTCCTCCATGTCCGCCCTGTCCGCCCTGTCCGCTCTGTCCTCCTGTGCCATAACTTAGCCAATGGCTCCGCTTGGGCGCCATTTTGTTTATCTTTGTCGCTTTTTCATGGGCCCAGGCAGCATGAGGGGTCCTCCACAGGCCACAAAGTTAGGCCAAAGCCTTCGCCATCGATGCTGCCGCCGGTAGTTTTATGTGGAAGGTGGGAGCTGTCCAGGTGGAAGGACGGTGTGGGGTTCTAACATCGTTTTGAACTTGAATTTTGTGCTGGACACTTGAATGGAGTGACTAATAAATAGAGGCAGACACACAGAGGAGACCTGTAGAACTATGATGGAATGTCTCCAAAAGCGTATTTGTGCTTCGGTGCAGCGATCCCGCTCAGGCAGTTCTTATCGAGCGCCAAGCATCATCATCATCAGTGAGTCAGTGACTCATTTTTTTTTTTTGGAGCGACTGCATCTACTGCTCCCATAACCATTCTCGCGTTTCGCCCGATTTCGATCTCTCGTGATCATGGTACATTAGGTTTCACGCTCCCACAAATGAATGGAATGGATCGACATCGACAGAGTCATGCCATGAATGAAACTCTATTGTGGATAGTCGAAGGCAACTACTGTGCTCCTGCCATGTATATTTTTTTGTGGGCGTTCAAATCAGTTGCCAGCCATCGAGTGGGTGCGTTTTTTGCTTTTCTTTTCTTTCTCAGGCTTTTGTCTCTAAGCAACGATTGATCGGGGGGGGTCTAGCCCCCTACCTACTCTCTGCTGCAGTGTGTACGGAGATCGTTGAAAGTTCTGATGCAAATTGCAGCAGCAGCAGCACACGGAAATATATAACAATATTCAGGCAGCTAGAGCAGAGCCTAAAGAGTGCCCATTGAGAGTGAGAGCGAAGTAGCTGAAAGATGAGTGTCACTCGGCTCTGAGTTCTGAGTGCAAATCATTCATTTTGTGGGTACAGAGCCGAGGGCATCAGCACATCTCCAGAGCACCTTTCAGGGCACACAGCAGGAAATCACAAATCACAAAGCTAGTCCCAGAGACAGCGAGAACAACCTGACTTTTCTGATTAATTTTGAATAAATGCAAATGCAAATGCGAATAACGAATATGAATAACGAATATGAATACTCGCGCACACATTTCGCCAAGGTTATCCTCCTGACTGACAGCTGGATAAAGGGCCACGCGAGAGAGATGTTTTTTTTGCTGGGCCCATAAAGGAACGGAACCCAGCGATCCCAATAGCCCCATAGCCCCATCCCCCAGCCCCCAGCCCCATTGGGATCCTTGATTCCTTTCATACGCCTGTCGCTTTTGATAAATCTGATGGTTTTTGTGTGTGCGGCTGAAATATAACTTGTTGTGATAATTTCGTTGGCGAATTTGTTGCGCAAATATCAAAATAAAATTAATTTCCTTTTTTTTTTTTTTTTGCTCGCTCTCTCAGGTGGAAGAAGGTTCTGGACTGTGGAGCATTTGGCACTTGGCGATCCCCGCGATGCCTTTGCTGCGATCCCATTTCATGAATGAAATCGGGTTTCGTCTTCGTCCTCGTCCTCGTCTGTGTCTTTGTCTTCATTCCCTTGCTACTTCTTATCGTTTGCCTTCGTTTGCCGCGCCGCACCGGAAATTGAAATTTTAAAAGTTTTGACGTTTGCTTAGTTCTCTGTCTCTCTGTCCACGTCTCTGTCTGTTCTCAGTCTGTTTTCTGTATCTTCTCTGTCTACATTTAAATGAGAGCAAAACGCTGGAGCAACCCAACCTGCTGCCTCTGTTGTGACCATAACACGAGCCACGAGTCTGGTCTGTCCGAGAACCTGAAATTAAAATTAACAAAAATATTAATTGGCAGAATGTTGTTGGACATTTCCATCTGCTCTTCCATCTGCTCCTCCCACAACCAGAGTACCTCCACATCTGTAAATGTACAACTAGACATACATACATATATATCTGTAGCTGTAGCTGTATCTGCATCTGCAGCTGTATCTGTGTATCTATGTGGCTCTATGTGTCGTTTTCCTGTTTCCGTTTGATATTTTCATTTCCATTCAAACATCTATTTTGATTGCGGAAGGAAAGTGCCCAAAATTTGCGACAAATTAAATGCCAAAAAAACAGAACTCCATAGAGGAATCTGCGCCTGTCGTTTGGCTCTTTGAACACCTGGCTATCTGTAGTCCTTTCATATTCTTTAATTTCCAGAATATACATAGGACCATACAGTACATATGGTACATACATAAATTGTATTACATTTTGTACATATGTATGTATTTTCATTTATATTTGATTTACATATATTTTGAATATTTTTTCTATGCAAAAAAAAAAAAAATAAAAATCACGCATGATGCGCATGCAGAAATTATTTTAATTTTCA